CGCTCGGCACGCCACCTCAGACGATGATGTTCCTAAGAGCCAGCGCCTGCCAGCCCACGGGGACTTGCCCAGTTTCCCAGAGATGCCGGTTGGAGGGGCATCCCACCCCATTCTGGGTAGATTGGGGTGCGCATATTTGGCACCTTCTCCCAGACCCCTCCAAAGGGCTCTAAAGCCCCTCTGTGACCAGATGACTGTTGGAGCAGTCATACTACTGACTACAGGGGCTTGAGTGAGGCTCGGAAGGGGAGTCCGGACATCTGTACTTTGCACTCCCTTGCCCCTCCCCCATTCAGGTCTGTCACCAGGAGCTGTGTGACCTTGGGCAAGTCACTTCTTGTCTCTGAGTGACTTTCTCCAGGGAGCCACTCCTGTATGCCAAAGGACCCCGGCCCCTGCAATTCCCTAGCTCCAGCCTTCCCGCGGGAGCCCCTACCCCAGCGAGACCCCAGCCTTTTGTTCCGGGGTGAGGGAAGCAGAGCTTCGCGAAGGGCCAGGCCGAAGAGGCTTTGGCGCCAGGGGCTGTCACTAGAGTTGGGTCTCGGGAAGTCACCAGCAACCCCGCGGTGAGCTCGTCCCTTCCATGGTCCCTTTCTGGCCCATGCTCAGCGGCAAGGTAGACTGGGTGGCGGGCGCCAGGGCTGCAGCCTGGAGGGGGTCCCTGGGGCCCTGGCACGCGCGCAGCCCCTGTGCCTGCACCGAGGCCACTCTACCTGGGGACTGACCTGAGAGCCGCGACACCACCCTTTTCCCACAGGTCACCGACCGGCACTCGCGCGCGGAGCCGATACCTGCCACTGGCCGTGTGGGCTGGATTGGACTCGAGCTCCTGCCGTCGTCACCGCCGCCGCCTGCCGGTTTCGGACTCTGTCCTGCAGCGCCCGGGCTCCGAGGCTGCGCGGGTGCAGCCACAGCGCTCGGTTCTGAGATCCGCGCTGGGCTCCGAGCGCGCTCAGCTAGCGCCCGGCCCAGTTCTGGTGTTGCCGAGACCCGGAGGCGGGGCCGCCGCCCCCACCTGCTCGCAGGCTTCAGCTCTTGAGTCTTTGCCAGCGCCGCCTCGAGAGCAGGGACGCTGCTTGGGCAGGCGGGGTCGCTGTGACACACAGGAGGCGGGCCCAGAGCGCGACCAGCCTCCCAGGTACCGAGTCCTGGGACCTCAGACTAGAGGTCCCCAGATAGGAACTGTTGTGCCGGCGACCTATGGCTCAGCTCACTCACTCTGGAGACACACCACGCTTGCAATTCATTCCAAAAATTTCCAAGCCCTCTGTAAGTTCCAGTCGGTGTGATAAATAAATAGGAACAAAAGAAAGCACAAAACAGCCTCTTGCCCTAGTGGAATTCACGATCTGAAAAAGGGAAGCCAACCCATGCACGATTCGTGTCGTGTGTGTGTGTGTGTGTGTGTGTGTGTGTGTGTGTGAAGGTTCAGAGGTCCCTTCAAGACACAAAGAAGAGGCATCTGATCTAGACATCTAGACATGCAGGGCGTGTTAGAGGTTTTTTCAGGAGTTGATGTCACTTGGGAGAACTGAAGGGCACTCTCCTGGTGACCTAGGGAGCTAGGCGATTTTAGGTACTTTGGAAAAGGAGAGAAAACAACAGGCTTAAGCAGTTGGTATGTCCAGCAGATCCCTATCACACTGTAGTTCTGGCCCTTGTCTCTTTCCTGGCCTGGGCATCCTGCAAGCTAGAAGTGTGCTCCTAGGGGCTGGGGAGATGGCTCAGCAGAATAAGCGCTTCCCTGGCAAGTGCAACAGCCTGAGTTCAATCCGCAGTTCCTAAAAAAAAAAAAAAAAAGTGCTCTTGGACTCTTGACTAGCTCTTTCAGTCCCTGAGTATCTATTTGAGAGCCAGAGGCTCTTCAGGGTTCCATGGTGTGCTGGTGAGGAAAGCAGGATCTGAGTGGAGGAGAGAACTGTGCTTGGTGCTGCCAGGAGACCAGCAGGAGGGCGCGGGAATGCAGGGACTGGGGGTGGGGATGGGGAGGGTGAGGGGTGGGGGGTGGTCTCACACAGGGATTACAACCTGTCCCCAGGTCTAGGTTTTGTAGCAGCTGTTCTCAAAATAAATTCCCCAAGCATCCTTCAGCTGTTGTGTTGATAGCCCGACAGTGAGTAGGCTTGTGTTTATAGCAAAGCTTAATAATACTCTCAGGATGTCTTTAACCACAATGTTGTCAAGAACATGCCTTCCTCTTTTGATTTAGGTGAAAAGAGGTCCTTGTGTGGCCAGTGGAAACTGATGAAGTGCTTGCTCCCTCCACTGGACCTGTGCTCTTCCTGCCCTCTTCTCAGGACCATAAGAAACAGTGCGCACGAAACCCGAAAGAACATACTCCAAACCTGAAAGTTGTGAGCTATTTTTTAGCTCTGCTATTTAAAATAAATTCCAAAATGTTAATCAGAAACTCCCAATGACTACTTTCATTAAATACATGTCTACGAGTATTCCAATTCAAAAAGGGTGAATTTGCAGAAAATTTGCCCATCTCTCCATCCATCTAGAGAAAGATCAAACCTTCTTTGTTGAATCTGTGCCCTCTCATCCACCTGTAGCACCATCACCACAACCACCATCAGAAGATAACAGACCCTGTCAGGACTTCAACCGTAACATTGTATGAAAATACCGTTATCTATCTTATAAGAGGGATGGGTGCTGGTATGGATCAAGAAATTTATTGTTGTTGTTAATGCCTGAGTTGAAAGATTGCAAAGGTAGTAAATGAGGAATCCAGAAAATGTGAACATTTGGGTTTGAAAGCTTCATGAGGCCTTGCATTCAAGCCCAGTACCTCACATGCATGTGTGCTATCCCTGCCACTAGCTCCTTATTTCTATGGACATCGCAGAAGGATTGATTAACTCTCACCCAACTCCACTGGAATGTGCATACTGTTGAGAGGAAACTAGCTCTTCTAGGTGGATGGCATTTCTTCAGTGGAAGCCCTGTGAGTCATCTTCCCAAAAGCCAAGCCATTCTCTTATTCTTCCTGGGAACAGAACACAGAATCATGATGGGCCCAAGACCAACAGGACAATCCCCTTCCTGATCATCCAGTCTATCTTACAGCTAAGAAAGTCATGACCTTTCTGACCAGTGAATTGAAAGAAGGCTTAGTGGGAAGGAGTTTCAAAAATCTTGCACCTTTCTATTTCCCACTGTCTTTGTGCATTAACTGAAGAACTGCCTAGTGGTGCTACAAGCAGATGCCAACCAAGAGAGAGTGAGTATATGATCAAAAGTCCAATAGTTCAGGACAGCACAATGGAAAAGTCAGTATGGTATTGGTAGGCACTTGAACCAATGTCAACAACTGTCTCCCTGCGAACTATCTATTATGTGAGAAAATAGCTGTTTTTTTAAGCCAGTAAGGTTAGGCTTTCTTTTCTTGTGGCCACATATACTCCTAACTAATGAAATGATACAGTAAAAGGGAAAATCCTCCTCTTCTACCCCGATCATTCCCCACCTATCTGCAATGGCTCATCTTCTCATTACAAACATGTGTTTATACCTGTTCAGTAGCTTTCTGAGCTCCAGGAGAAAGGCACAATAGAAATCTTAACTGTTTTCCTCGTGTAAGCACTTCCTCAATTATTCATAGATCAGTTATTACAGGGTGTTTCTGTACTGGGGCTGAAAGTGCAAATCAGATCCACAATCCTTCACCTAGGGAGCTAACAGCTTAGCAATGGACACAAACTTGTAAAGAGCATTGCAATTCCCTGCCTTGGAGGAGCATGTCCTAGATAGAGAGCTGATACAAAAAATAATGAAGCCTATCTATGGGAGGTAGGAAAAGACAGTGTTAGCTGAGCTGAGATTTCATGGATGAATAGGAATTTCTTCTGTAGAAAGTGGAGAAGAGAAGATATTTCAAGGAAAAGAAAGCTTGAAAAAGTATGGTAGTCCAGGAGCCTCAAAATCCCCTTGTCTCAAACCAAATTCATAGTCTTTGTCCAAAACCTGATTCACTCTCACTGTTGCCCATCTCTCCATCCATCTAGAGAAAGATCAAACCTTATTTGTTGAATCTGTGCCATCTCATCCACCTGTAGCACCATCACCACAACCACCATCAGAAGATAACAGACCCTGTCAGGACTTCAACCGTAACATCTTATGTAGTGTATTAGTCTTTGTTAGCTCAAAGTTTTAGAGGTTCGAAGTCCAAGCAGCATTGTGCTGGCTCTGGTGAGGGCTCCTGTGGATGCTTCACTGCATAACCTTTCCCAGAGGCTGGCACAGTGGCAGTAGTTCTCCCATGTAGGAGAGATCATATGTTGAGGTAGGAAGCCAGAAACAGTTCAAGGGTCCAGATTGCCCTTATAATTCACTCTCAGAAAAACTATACCAGCCATCTTTCTAGTCATTGAGACATAATACCTGTCATCCACATCTTGTTGAAGGAGAGACTTAGTTTGGCTCACAGTGTCAAGGGATTCAGTCTATGGCCATCTGGCTCCATGGCGGAAGTGTTATGGTGGAAGGGCACTGTGAAGCCAAGATTCTTAGCTCGGTGTGGCCAGGAAGTAGAGAAGGGGAAAGGTTCTGGAGAGAAAAGGGAAAGGGTACCAGGTTTAATCTCACAGTCACTCCTTCATGACCTACTCAGACACACCAGAAGTGGGCTTTCTTAAACTCCTTAGTATTTTCCAAGCCAGTCAAATTGATAATTGAGATTAACCACAAGAAGGGCTCAGTCAGGTCCCAAGAGAACTACCTTAATTCTTCCTTAGGGCATACTCTAAATGAGCTAACCAACTCCTATGGGGCCTCACGTCTTCAAAGACCCACCATTTCAACTCCACCCCATTGAATACCAAACCTCTAACACATGAACATTGGGGGACAACTACATCTTGACCATAGCAGCTGGTCATTCTGTAAACAGGCTACTTTTCTCTTTCCAGCCATTCTTCACAAAGTGGCCAGAGAGACCATTTTGAATCCCAAAGCCAATCTTCTTAACTTCCCTCTTTTGTAGTTAAGGACTACCCTTTGTCATGGTGGTAATAACCAAGATTCTGAGCTTTGTCTGAAGGTTTGCCCTAACCTTCTCTCCAAACATCTTTTTGAGCCTTCTCTCCTTCTCTATGTATTCTAGCCATATTGGTCTGCATTCAAAGCCTTCAACAAGTAATATTTCTCCTTGTTACAGACTCTTTGGAGATGCTCTTCTATCTTTGGAGAGAATATTCTAAGGGTGAAATTCTCTTTATTTTTCAAACTTCAAGTAAATTTTGTCATCAATTTCTTGTGGCTTTTTTTTTTTTTTTTTTTTTTTGCTGATCCAGGGATTGAACTCAGGCCTTTGTGCTTGCCAGGCAAGCACTTATTCTACCAAGCCATGGGGGGCTGCCCCTGTCATCAATTTCTTGGATCTCACCAAAATCAACCTATCCTATTATAAATACTAAGTTTGTGTACCTTTCTTGTGTAACATGTACTATAGTTGTAATGATGACACATTTACCTGTTTGATAATTAAATTAACATCGATGCTTCAGGCTGTCTTAGGAGACCTGTGTCATTGTACACTTATCTCACAGAACAGGAGCTAGCACATGCTGTCATAAGCTCCCAATTCAGATGTTCTGACCTGTGGAAGAAAAGTACAACTTGGTTTTACAGACTTGAGCTACCCACTTGAGAGACTCTAAAAGTCTTCTTTTAACTTAATTGAGGGAAAATTTACATGAATAATGTTCACTTAGTTTTATATGTATAGCTCATTGAATATAGCCAAATGTATACTCTGGTGTTGCCTTACATCACTCAAGGGAGTTCCCATGTGCTTTTGTCACCAGTCACAGCATCCAGCCCCAGGCAGCCGCAGATCTGGTGCTATGTTAGTTTTGTCTTTTCTAGAGCTTTGTATGTTAGAATTATACATGATGGCTTGAGATTCACCTGTGCATTATGTATAACTTTCAAAATAATTGATCTA